CGCGTACAGTGCGTCTTTTTGGGCTTATTATATGAGATATTTTTCCGCATATTTAGCTCTCTCCCCAGGAATACGTAAGAATCCACTCTTTGGAGAGCGATTCCTGCCAACTTCACTGTTACTGCGTCACACCACCGGTTCATCATCATCTGCTTTTTGGACATGCTCATATCCCAGCCAGTTTTCTCACAAGTCGCCTTCTCGGTTGCCATCTCTTCAATTTCGACTGTGCAGCTTTCAACAGTTTAGTTCACTAGAGTCGAAATTATTTTCTCACAGCCGAGCGGCATGCCTTGTTAATGGTGATTTTTTTCGAGGTGAATAGCATCAGGATCCAGTTAGTTATAAGATATTGAGTTTTCTGATGAGTCGTCCAGCAGGCTTCAGCTAAAAGGTTTAACGGCAACTTCCAGATGCTCGTCGTTGTACAAAGCATTCCTAGAAGGTGTGGGCCTATGCCTGTCTCGCTTGAACATTTTCTTCTTGAGACATCTCTTGACACGGATCTGGGTGTGATCGGAGCCAGTATTTAGTGATGTTGACACGGACACGTCGATCAGGTTCCAGTGTTGATTGGTTAGGATATGACTGGTTTGTCAACTCAGACTTCTCCACTTCCGTCCTCGTTTGGCAGGCCTCTCAAGTTTCCATGGTTAAAGATGGTAGACAAATAAAAAAATTCCAGCATCTTTCTCAACTCTTATTATTACTGGTAGATCGATGGGGCCCGAATCGCCAGTTGCTATTGTAGTGTGTTCCAACAATGACGTTATTGTCCCCGAAAACATACTTGTAGCAGCTTCTTTCATTCTAAGTAGTCCTTTTCAGAAGTTGGTAGAATTCCTCGCCTTCCTCTGGCTGGAGAGGTTGGCACATATCCCTTGATGATGGATAAGGTGTCCTGATTTTTGGTTTGCATAAAATAGCGACACCCGGGTCAACGATTTTGTGGAAGTCGACTACATGGACCACTGTCGGGTCTACGAGAAATCTAACTCCCCGTTGTTGTATGCACCTTGGCTTCAGTGATGAGCAGCTTGTTGCGGTCGGTTTAGCAAACATCCCCTTCTGCTTTTCGTCCCTCGTAGAGTGATAAAATCGCACTTGATTCGCCGGCTACTTGACAATAGCGTTAGTAAATCAGTTCTCTATGCGACCACGCGACAATTATACGAACACACGAAGAGGCAGTGTCATGGGGTGGGGAGTTTCCGGTTCCGATTGTTTCTATGGCATGCTGGTTCCCTGATTAGATGGCCCCCATCGATAGAAATCGTTCAGCCACAGAACTGGGACGCTACCAAACCTAAGGCTGCGTCGATTGTTACAGAATTCCTTCGGCTGAATATACAAGAGAACGGCCTACGCGCCTATTACAGACTGCAGCCATTTGCACCGTTGGCCATCACTAGGTGGTGTTCACCCTATGACCGCGGTGAGATGGTATATCCCACATCCCGGAGTGAGAGGGGTGTGGCGCAGTTGTCTCAAGTGGTAATATCTCGAAAAATGCTTCCTGTGCCATGATCGATGAAGTGCGCAGCTCAATCTCTCCATCTTCAGGATACGGAGTGGCGATAATATCCAGGAATTCTAACATGTCGCAGAGTTGTTGATCGTTGTAAAGGTGCATATTTTTTTCAGGAGCATTGAGGATAAACTACGCTAAGAAAACAGGAGATCGACTTGTACCATACGGGCCGCTGGCCCCAATCATGGCCTGTATCAACGAGAAGAAAAGATTATCGTCCAGAGCGTACCTGTCTTGTTTTTACTTACACTTGTGAGCAGCAAATGAAAGACATAATACGAACGCAGGGCGGAGGTGATCGCACAGTTCCGGTTCTTATTCAAGGCGGACCGCCTCTTCAGCTCCACTTCTTGAGATTGTGCTGGCAACATGCCGCGAGTATTTCTAAAAGTACCTACCTAAAAGAAAGTGTTACTGGAAGGACCGCGACCACGTTCCTGCTCACATTTTTCAAAAATGGGGCTCCTCTCTTTTTATAAGAGAGACCGCTAGGCACGCCGCAGATCAAATTTATATAGCATTGTTATTGCGGGGTTCTTACCAGTTTTTGAGCACCTCACGTATGCCATCGCTCACAATGCAGGCTGGTGCGACGCGAAGTTGGACATCATCTCAATTTTGACTTGCGTTGGCTCGTGGAGGTTTTCTCATCCATATAACGGTTAGGTAGGAAGGCAACTATCACTCACCCACCACCACCCACGCCCGCACGCTCACACCGGTGCAACGGTGAGAGCCATCCACTCCATATGCATGAGGTTGGGGTTTCGAAGCCTTTTCGGACGGACTAGCTGCACCTTTGGTCGAAGATTTTGCTTCAGATGCACTTAGCTGCTTTGCGTACGACTGAGGGCGAGGTAAGCCAACTTCTTCATCCAACAGTTTCACGACCGCACAACTCTCTCAGGCTGAGTTCACATATACACCCAAACCTTACTTCGTCATCAAAACTGTAGGCTCCCGCTTTGAAGGGCAATGTAAGCGCCGTAAAGCGTCCATTGAGCGGGCATCGTACTTATGGCGGCTTCACTGTTTTGGGATCGGCAGCTGTCCACGCTTGGTTCTACTCCTTCCATCTTGCTTCTGCCGGTCGAGGGTTTCGTCGGATGTTTATTCATCGAACCGCGTCACAACAAAACTGAACCATACTCCTAGCTGGGAGGAAGTGAAAGTACAAATGGTAAACAACATTGATATCATGGGAGAGGCAAACAAGTGAGGTTCATTCTGTAGAATACAGAAAACGCTGGCGTCGGGGTGGTAGAAAGAAAGTTTGAGGAAGTGGTTGGAAGGGATGGTGGTCCGATTGTAGGTGTGTAACACTTGTAGTGTAAGTGTAACATTGTCCATATTGCAAAAGAGGAAGAAAGGAGGCAAGCGAGGGTGGTACTAATAGAAAGACCATGCCTCGATGTCTAACTGCTCACATCACCAGTTACACCCTTCTCAGGTAATGCAAGTAAGTGAGTACAAAAAATATGACAGAACTTTCCCGCCAACCTAGTAGAAAAAAGACTATCCCCTGGTCTGCTCCTAGCTAATGTCACCCCATCTCAGGCGCTCGCGTGGCGGCATTTCATCACCTGATGCTATCACTCTACACACTATTTTCACACCACGCATGTGTGGCTAGTTTGCCGTGTATGTACGTATGTATGTATGTATGTATGTATGTATGTATGTATGTATGTATAGTGTAGTTCGCTGCGGATGGTTGGGCGTGTCAGTGCGGTTGCATTTGGCGCCGTGCCAAACTCGTTCTGCACCAGTTGTTAAAGCGGGCAAGTGACATTACTGTATCATATCCTTCCTATTACTCGTTTTCTACCACTTTTTGTCGCATACGCGTCTCAACAAGGGGGGTAGAGAACGGACTTGAGGGGGGTGACAACACTCATACTACTGACACCCCAACCGTCGCGCAACGAGCTGGAGTGTATCATATGTGTATGTATACGGCATACTTGTGTATACTGTCTTGTAAACGGGTGGGATGGAGAGGGTATGTGACCGGGTTAACTAATGGTGGGGTTTTATCAGCATCAGATTGTCCAACCGATAGCTAACCTGGGACTCCTTGAGAAATCGGGTGTTAACCGCCGGGCACGGTGCACCCATGACTGCGCCCTTTCAGTGCTACATAAGACGTTATCATTCAGCCCGCTGGGTGGCAGTATTGGACCTGGAGGTGAGCAGAGCGTATGCCGTAAATAATAAATCAAATAGCGCGTACACCAACATGAAGCGCAATTTTATGATATTAGGTCATCCATTACAAGACTAGTCGCTACATAAGAGGAATCGGCGAAAAAGCAAAGGGGATACGGAAGCCGGGCTGAGTACTACCCATTCTGGAAGGCTAGTAACTTCAGCGCACTGCGTATCTGGTGAAATTGGCGAACGCTAGCCTCTGAAGAAGTTCTCGCCCGAGAATTTGGAAGAGAAGCCCGAGTGGTGAAAATCGGCGTCGGTTTTTCAAATCAGACGTCATAAAAGGAAAGTGCGCTGCTCAAATTTGACCTGCGCCGGACCATAGTCTGTGGGTGTAAGGGTGTTCTCTGAAATACACGTGTATTTAGATTGTGCTAGGAGCTCGTATCTAAGGATAGAAAGAAATAACGTGTTTCCTGTTAATGGTCCATATTATAATTCATCCCGTGTCACATAGAATAAAAGTGGTTGGATTGAGAGCATGTGTACGACTGAATATCTGATCTAACAGAGCTTGTACTCTTGCGAGCTTCTCGATCGCGAGGGTGGGGTGCCATTTCCCATGCTGCATACTTGGCCCGAGTTATTGTCTCGATTTTAACTGGAAGATGGCCTTAATAGATGGGTGGCTGCATGGGTACCTATATTATTTTCTTATAGAAGCACGAAACAGCAGTAAACTCGATCTACGTACTCTCTAGCCAGTAATGTTTCAGCATGAGATGTCACACCACACTGTGAAACGTCCACCGCAGCCTTAGATGAAATATGGGTGGTCTCGGACCTCGAGCCAAAACTCACAATCGTCAATTTTGTATGAATGCAGATGAGAAGCCGCCCGAGTTCTACCATGAAGAGTTACGTGGGCGCAAGTGGATGGTCATCATAGCAAAAAGGATTCCCACACGTGCTTTTCAAGCGGGCCTCTAATACACGAGACAAAATTCGTCACTGGTCGGTGCCCTAAGGAAGGCACAGGCCAAGGAAGGTCATAGTACCAGACCCCGAGTAACTGTATTGTAGATCAGTGCTGGGACACAAACAATACTGAGACCTGGGTTCAATCGCCCCATTCGCCCGTCATAAAGCCATGCGATTACAACTGTTCTATTCAGTTGAGAGTACTCTCCGACGGCAGACGCTACAATGTTTTGTCATTTGCCGAAATTGGCAACAACAGCAATTTACCCACACGTTGAAAAACCGAACGTAAGGTCCAAAGGCCCTCGGGGCACTGGGAGCGGGTCATTGGTGAAGGAGGGATTTACTCAATTGCCCTAAAGTTAAAATATTACTGTTTGTATCACTTTCTATCTATTCTCCTCTTTGTTTTATTCAAAAAAAACCAGCGGCCAGTTTGAATGGGATGACCTAATAGTTATCCAGTTCGAAAGCGGCTCACTAATACTGCAGCACCTGCACTTGAACTTGCTTATGTTATCAGCCGTCGCATAAATATGTGGCGAACATCATCACAGGGAAATATACGAATTTTCTTTTGGGCGCAAATCAGTTCTGCTATGGGAGCTGCTGTCCTAAAGAAATTCCGAGGAAATTATTGCCGAGCGCTGTCTCTCTGAGGAGTCCAAGAGAAGGATCTGGATTTGTGTTCGTTTACTCCTATTTTTTAAGGTTAACATTCATTATGTCGATGAAAAGGGTCGCGTAATGGATCAAAAGGATGCTTACCGGGAACTCTCTTACAAGTGAGTTGGATTTCGTTGATATCAATTTTCTAAAAGAATTTGATCCAATGTGAGTGTTCTCTAGGTTCCATGGTCGCAATCCTGGCAAAAAGCAGACGGAGAAGCGAATATCCAGACGAGATAAGAAAGAGATGTTGAAGCAGGTTTGTTTTCGATATAAATCTTTGTTAGAGTAATATAAGCAGTATGATGGTTGCTTGGGGAACTGTTTCTTCACTTCCTCTATGTTTTTTTTTCTTCAGATGAACAGTTCTGATACTCCTCTCGGTACGCTGTCAAAGCAGTTAAGAAAGCAGGAGCTCCTGCAAACGCCCTACCTTGTACTCAGTGGATCAGGACGAAGTGACCAGTACGTGACTGTTTTATGTAGAGTTAAGCACATTCAAAGACAAACTACATTCACCTCAGTGAATCCTGATCGTTGCCGTGTGTAGGGAGAATGGGCCCGCAGCTGCAGTAGCGTTCCACTTTCTCCCGTCCAAAGTGCGCGAGACGGGGCTGGAGGTTAGTGATACCGGTCTCCATACTCTGTTCCGCTCCTCCACATCGAGCAGCTCCGACAACGTCGCTACGGTCTAGGACATCATCTTCACCGCAGTCGCCAAGGCGCGGGTTGATGGTATGGACCGGACGTACCTGGAATGGAAAGACCATATTTTCTTCGTGGACCCCGGACTGAAGGTGAGCGCTGGCGGTTACATCGAGCAACTCGTGAAGAATATCCTCCTCACATGTCGTCGCCCGTACCTTCTTGGAAACTTTGTACTGCTACAGCATTGGGTGCCACCACATGGAATCGAAGGGCGTTGGAGAAACTCTCGCCTACTTGGAATGGAAGGGGGCTGAGTACCTAAAGAAGATGGAATAT